TTTTTTTTTTTTTTTTTTTTTTTAACCATGAAAGGATGTTGGGAATATAGCAAGTGCTCTTTCTTGATGTGATGTCTTACATTGATTTAATGGTCTCTAAATTTCTTTCCTTGTAATGTCTTTATACGGATTTGGTATCAGAGTAATCTTGGACTCAGAATGAGTTAGGAAGTGTTCTTTCCTATTTTGTTTTTTGGAAGAGTTTGAGAAAGATTGATGCTAATTCTTTAAGTGTTAGCAGAATTCACAATGATGCCATCTGGTGGTGGACTTGCGTTGGGAGGTTTGTGATTTCTGAATCAGTCTTTCTACTTGTCACTTGTCATAGGTCTGTTTAGATTTTCTATTTCTTCTTAAGTCAGTTTTGGTAATTTGGGTTTTTCTGGTAATCTGTCCATCATCTCATCTAGCTTATCTAATTTGTTGGCACACAGTTGTTTATAGCATTATTTTATAATCTTTTTTTATTTTTGAAAGATTGGTAGTAATGCTCAAAATATCATTTCTGATTTTAGCTGTTTTTTTCTCATCTTTCTTGTTTAGTGTAGGAAAATGTGTAATAGTTTTGTTGATATTTAAAAAGCTTTTCGTTTCATTGATCTTGGTTTTTCTACTTTGTTTTCTTTATCTCTGCTCTACTCTTGCTTTGTCCTTCCTTTTGCTAGATTTGCTCTTTTTTTAGCTCTTTAAGGTATGCAGTTCAGTTTTTTTCTCTCACCACTGAGAAGTGAACTTAGGGCATTCACACTGAGCCACATCCACTCATTAGGTCACTGGCCTAGAGCTTGCCATCCTTCTGTCTCAATCTCTCAGAGAGATCTGGGATTACAGGCGTGCACCACCATGCCCAGCTTTGGTTATCTTTTTCTTTCTCTGTGTTTTTTTGTTTTTGTTTTTGTCTTTTTTTGTGTGCGTGTGCTGGAGATTTATCTGAGGATATCATTCATGTTAAGTATGTGCTGTGCTGCTGAGCTATAGCCTCTAGTCTTTCTTAAATGTAGATGTTTACTACTATAAATTTACCTCTTAGTGCTGCTTTTGCTGCACACCATAGTTGTAATCTGAGTTTCCACTTTCATAAGTCTCAAAATGTTTTCTGATTTTCCTTGTGATTGTTTTGGATACATGGATTAATAGTGTGTTTAATTTCTGTTCCATTAGATTGTGTTGAAGAAGATGCTTTGTATGATTTTAGTCCTTTTAAATTTATTGAGACTTGTTTTGGTGGTCAAACTTATGCCCTATGTGGAGAATGTGCATGTGCACTTTAGGAAAATTCTCAGGTATATTCTGCTATTCTTGGGTTAGTGTTCTGTGCATCTATTAAGTCTGGTGTGTTTTAGTCTCCTGTGTCCTTATTGATTATCTCCATTATTGAAAATGAAGTATTGAAGTCTCCAGTTATTAGTGGAACTGCCTATCTCTGTCTTCAAACACGTTGATGTTTGTTTTATATATCTTTGTATTCTGTTTGGTGGCTACGTATTAATACTTGTTAATCTTGATGAGTTGACTCTTAACAATGTATGTATCTCTTTAGTTTTTTTCTTTTAAAGCCTAATTTGTCTGATAGTAACATTGCCACCAGCTTGCTTTCTTTTCTTTCCTTTCTTTCTTTCTTTCTTTCTGTACTGGGGATCGAACTCAGGATCTTGTGTTTGTAAGGCAGGTATGGTGCTGCTGAGCTAAATCCCCAGCCACATGGATGTATATTTTTTTGAGATATATTTTTAAAAAGTCTTAGTGCTCAACCTATTTATGTCTCTGGATCAAAAGCAATTTTCTTGTAAATAGCATAGACATAATTGGGTCATGTCTCACCATCTGCTTTTTAAATAAAGTTTTATTGGAGCACAGACACACCCATGTGCTTGTATGTTGTTATGGCTGTTTTTATGCTGCGGAATTTTCATATGGCAGAGTTAAGTCATTGCAATAGAGACTGTATACTAGCAAAGCTTAAGACAGTTTCCTATGATTCTTCACAGGAAAAAAGTTTGCTGGCCCCAGGTCTTTTTCAGTTGCCCTGGCTATAGTTAACTGTTAATGGCCTTGCACAGCAGTAGTCTGGTGAAATTTGTCGTGGGTAGCCTATTTTGTGTCTCCTGAAGCTGATGGATTGGACAGTTCTGATGTCAGATGGGTATCCCAGGGGCCTTGTCTGTCTGCCCCTGAAGCTAGTGTTAGAGAGAGACAAGGCAACTGAGAAGATTGTCCTTCCATGGTGGTTTCAGCCAGAAGGTGGCCAGCTGCCTTGGTCTGCTGGGACTGAGGTAGGTTTCAGAACATGGATTTTAGTTTTAAAATCTGGAAAGCCTAGGCAGACTAGGACAGCTGCTCATCTAGTGGGCTTTTGAGTCTCACCTGTGTCCCTCCATCCCAGTTCCATTCAGGGAAACCCCCAGCTATGCGAAGCGGCGGCGCCTGGCTGGCCCCAGTGGCTTGGCATCCCCTCGGCCTCTGCAGCGCTCAGCCAGTGATATCAACCTGAAGGGTGAGGCACAGCCAGCAGCTTCTCCTGGGCCCTCGCTTCGAAGTCTTCCCCACCAGTTGTTGCTCCAGCGGCTGCAGGAAGAGAAGGATCGTGACCGGGATGGTGACCAGGAGAATGCTGGTGGCCCTTCAGCAGGCAGGGGAAGCCAGAGCAAGATCAGGTAAGAGGGGCTGTGAGGCTCCTAGAGTCTGGGGGTGCACCCTGGCCGGCAGGGAAAGGTGTGCTGGCCCGAACCAGGCCTGGGATGGGCCTCCCTTGTGAAGTAGGGAGGAGACTCAAGGTTGGGCAGGTCTACCCATGCTGGCCTCTGGTGGGCGCTGGACATGCTCTGAGGGCAGGTGTTTGAGGGAACCTTTTGGGCAGAGAAGGTGTGGTCTGGAATGTGGTTAGAAAGTCCTCTGCAGCTCCAGGTCTTGGGAGGATGGGGGTGTGTCAGGAAAGCCTCTCCACGAGGGGTTAAAACCTATTGGTGACACCCAAACACCCCCGGCCCCAGCCCTGTATACCTATAGGATTTGTCACCCCCCAACCCTGAGTGCTGGGACCCTAAGAAACCAGGGACATTTGAGGGACTTGGCATCACTAGAACTTAAGAGTAGGAGGTGTGGCCTGGAGCCCACTGGCCTTGGCAGGCTATGGAGTGAGGCTGGGTTGGCCCTGGCTCTCAGATGGCCACTATGCTGGCTCCTTATTAAAGGGGAGCTAACCCCACCCAAGCATTTCCTGGGGGAGGCTCTTGGTATCTGAATGTTTGTCTGCTGGGCTCCTGGTATGCAATACAGGAGGTGCTGGTGGTGGTACCTGCTCCCTGGTCCTTGAGGGCAGGAGCTGTCATCTTGCTTTCTCCTGCTCAAAGTCAGGCACATAGAGGAGTTGGGAGGCACCATCAGGTGAAGGTGTTACATAAACAGTGTGTTGTTTTGCAATGGCAGTTGCTTCTAAAGTCCTATCACTCACTGTGACATTGGGCTGGGCAGGTCATCTCTGTTGCCCTCGATGACTCTTGAGGCTGTGCTTTGTAAACACCATGTTACAGATGGGGCCCTGTTACCCAGACTGGGTCAGAGACCTGTCCAGACACAGAGCCAGGTCGGCTCACCTGGGCTTAGGTGTTGGGGCTTGTGAAAGGCTGCTTTTCTACCGCTGCCCCCTGCTCTGTGCTATCTTCAGCATCTGTGTCTGCTTATCCTTGCTGGTCTCCCAGCTGTCTGCCCTGCCTCAAGCTGAAGTTCTTGGAAGCATTTGCCTCTTGAGTTTTCTAAGGGTTGAGTGGCCCTATGGCTGAAAGAACACATCCTTGGTTGTTGCCATTTATCGACAGGGTGCTCCTGAGTCAGAGCGTGTGGTGCACAGGTCCTTGCATTTGTCTGAATGTTTGTGTCCCGTGAGCTGAGCAGACAGAAAGCAAAGACCTGCGGTGTCAGGGGCGTACGTTCATCTGTTCCACAGGGATGTCATAACTCTTTTCCCACAATTTTAGGTGCCTGGTAGGCCAGATGTGGGTGATGGTAATCCCAGGACGTGGACAGCTCGACCTAGGGCAAAGCAGAAGTTAGGGGGACAGTGTCCCGTGCTAGGGGGTTGCCCTGCGAGTGACGGGGGTCACAAGTGGTCGGAGGACAGAGCATGGCCTTTGTGCATGGTGTGAGGCAGAGAGGCTCACTGGTGCCCCCTGTTGTCTGAGCCTGGCGTGGCTCCTCCAGAGTCTGTTATCTAATACTTGGTGGAATGGCCAGGATTGGAGTAGTTTAGTTTTGGGCAACAACTTGGTGAAGGGCCTAGAGCAGGGAGAGGGAAGGAGCCCACCCAGGTGACTGGAACGTGGCAAACTCTGTGTCCCAGAAACCCGGGTGCTGAGCGTGGGAATTTAGCCTGCCTGGGTACTAAGGAGGCAGCGCATGGCCAGTCGGAACAGGGGTCGGCATGGGCAGGGGAAAGGGCATGGGCAGCAGGAGCAGGTGTCCAGGGCGAGGAGACAGAGGCCTGGAGGGAGGGGACGGGTATCACATTCACCCTGCGGGCCGGCATGTGCGTGGAACCTTGCCGCACCCCATGTCTCCTGAGCGCCCCCATCCTACCCGGCCCTCCGCCC